CCTCTCTGGTAGGGATTAAAGAATAAAAACACTTGCAAGAGCTGAAATCACTGTCCACTAAGTTACTGTTCACGTGACACTATTCACAGTGAGTAGTTGGAAAAAAAATTGAATTGCTGCTTTGTTACCAAGTTAAAAAGTAAAAAGTAAAATATTATGTTAGGAGAGAGAGAGAATGAGAGAATAATATGTGTGTAAGCAGTATTACCCTACACTTTCTTATTTATATTGAACCATAACTTGGGTAATTACAATATTACCCTATATAAAAATAAAACATAAAAAATAAGAACTCTAACAATGGAGAAGTCGCCTAATTTTATCTTCAAGGAACTTTTTCATGGAAGGAAGTGAGAAACAGACACCTATAATATGGAAACATCCTAAGACCACATGATCTATGTGGGGCATCACTAAACCTAATTCTCGTTATGTTGGGTCTCATAATGCCAAAATATCACAGTAACAAAAGTTGGTTAAATATGCTCTTAAACATCAAGGATGGTCCACAACCATGGAAAATGAAATTACAACAGTGAAAGCTAATCACACATGGGAGCATGTACCACGAACCTCCTCCATGAATGTGGTAGGATACGAATAGGTATTTAAGGCAAAATTACAACTTGATGGAAGTTTGGACCACCTTATGGCTTGTTTGATTGCAAAATGATTTATTCATGTCTAGATTTTTTAGAAACATTTTTTTGCCTATGCTCAAGCATGGTAGTATCACATTGTACCAATATTACAACAATTAAGGGATGAGATATGCAAAATTAGAAGTTAAAAAATTCTTTTCTTCATAGATTTTTGAATGAACCAATTTTTATGGATCAATCACCGAGGTTCAAAGACTCTGTGTATCTTACACATATTTGTCTTTTGAAAACGGCACTTTATGGACTCAAATAAGCTTTGAGAGCTTTCTTTGATCATTTGAGCACATTTTTGCCCAATAGAGGTTTCTTTTATAGCCTCGTTGATCCTTTCTTTTATATTTTTGTCATTCTTCTTGTGATACATTTATTCTCTACATTTATGTGGATAACATGATTTTGATGAGAGATAATGAAGACCATTTAGATTGGCTTGTGGTACAACTTGGAACTCAATTTTCTATTAAAGATCTTGGTTATCACCGTCTTCCAAATGGCTTGTCTCTTAGCCAAGCTAAGTATGTAAAAATTGAAAACATTAATAAATTAATAAAGAGGTAATATAGTAATTAGGTCGTTCAAGCAAGGTTACAAAATTTAATTTTTATGTTACTCGGATGATGAAACGAACCTCATTATTAGATTCATCTCGCGAAATCGAGTGGAGCATTCAATTTTTGTTGAATTCCAAGATAGTCAGAATTTTTACACATTTCGAGACAAATCAGAGATACACAATTAAAATTTCAACAATTGAGATTTATTCATGGAACCCATAATATAATTAAAAGACCATCCACAAAATCTTATTCACTATGACACATGACATATTTTGATTGGGCATGAGAGATTTCCAACTAATAGGAACGTGATATGTGGCACCTCCTATGAAATTGTTTGAGAGAGGAAGAGAGAAAAAACCTCCAAGGCTTCATCTTCTTCTTCTTTTTTTCTCAAATCTTTCAAGATCCAACCATTAGATCATCAAACACCAAGAACAAGAGTTGTTCTACTTAGCAAGGGATACGTGCCAACGCCAACAACAACCATGTTTCCTAAATTTTGGGTCTAGGGCTTTTGGCTAAGCTTAGAGTAGGCTTGTAGAGACTTGTTTGGTGTATTCTTACGGATTTCTCTTGTTTACTCACGCTTTAAGAGGTGGGGGTTCTCTTCTATTTAGATTCCTTTTCAATCTAGGATTTGCATGTGAGATAGGGTTGAGTAAAAGTATATTAACCACATGATTAGCCTATAACTAGTGTAGCTAGTGAGTTAATTGCAACATGTGAGCATGTTGCCTAATTTCTACTTGAGATGGGTTGTTGAACATGTTTTATATGTAGGTTATGATGGGTATGCTAGGTTTTTGTAATTATGCACCCTATGAGTTTGATAAATTGCCTAAATATATTCAAACATATTATTTGAGTTAATCAATGTATATAAGATGTGTTGGGTGATATGCTAGAATACTCTTATATGCTATAATTGACATTGTGTTTTCAATTGAAATGCAATTTTACATACATTGCACGTGTATGGGTTAAACATCACATCCACGAGACATGTGGATCTTGAAAAGGTGAGTGATGGGTGGGGCTTGAAAAGATTGGACCAAGGTCCAATCAAGTCTCATGAAAATTTGCATGGAAATATGTCGAGACGTAGCAAGAATGGCTAGATTCTCCCTCGAGTGCTAGACTTGATTTATTTAGTCACACATTTTTTGGTGTTGTAATAAGTCCATAAAAGTGTGATGGTGAAATTGGAGCCGGAGGTGAGATGTCCTCGAGATCCGTTAACAGTTTGGTAGGCCGTTGGTGAAAGGCCATAAATTACCCGCCCCTAAAGACAAGATAATAATTGAAATGATCATTGGGTGTGTATAGCTCAATGGTGGGGGCTTGGAATTGCCCGGTTCATGATATAACATTACATCATGGGAGTTGCATGGGAGTCTGAGAGTGGGTTCAGAGTCGAACATGCTTTCGTGAAACATCACTCGTAGCTCTGTAGGTTTAGTAACTTTCTTTTATGTTACTTGTTGCATATATGTGATTGTTGAGTTGTAGGTACATCATATCATATGTATTTGGATTGAGAGATATTCTCTATAGAAAATACTCTATTGGCTGAGGCTCACTTCGTTGTGGGAATATTTTTTTGGATACTACGCACACTTCAGCAGATGGCCTTCCTGTGGGTCTACTTTGATGATGGAGCCAGAGCTCGGGCTCTTATCTTGGATGTATAGATATTTGGTTCCAACTGTAAAATTGATAGCATTGTAGTATTTTGGGTTATACAATATTGTATAGTCTTTTGTAACAGCTTGTATATGAGGACTTAATGTAAACTCTTTTTTTGTTTAAATGAATGGTTTACATTTGAACTTGTTATTATTATCTAATGCACGTATTGGATTAGATGTGTATGTTAGACTTTAGAAGGTCAATAGGAATTGTTATTGACTTAGATTGTGTTTTGGGTGGAGCTACACGTGCAAAGGAGAGTCCGTTGAAATTTCGTTAAAATTGATCCACCAAGACCATGACCTTAGGATAATTAATGAGGCTTAACGGGTAAAGAGGACCTCCAAAAATTTGGGGTCTCATAAAGTATGCATGTGACACGCTCACTTGTTCCCGGATGCATAACTGTAAGCCTATTTCTACTCATATGGTTGTCAAGGATCGAAAAGTTGCGTATGATGAAAATTATTTTCCAAACCGAACACAACATAGGAGTATTGTTAGATCTCTTCAATATTTGACATTTATTAGACCACACATGTCGTATAATGTCAATTGTATGTGCCAATTTATACATGCACCAACAATGGATNCAACATAGGAGTATTGTTAGATCTCTTCAATATTTGACATTTATTAGACCACACATTTCGTATAATGTCAATTGTATGTGCCAATTTATACATGCACCAACAATGGGTCACTATTGGATTGTAAAGCGAAAACTTCTTATATCAGTGGTAAGGTGGATCTCGACATGACAATCTCTTGCTAGAGTTTGCTAATGAAGATTGAGGTGGTTGTCCAACAGCACACTGCTCAACAATTGATTTTTGTACTTTTCTTGGATGCAATTGCATTTCATGGCGTTCAAAGAAGCAAAATTTCATCGCTTTTTTTAACGCAAAGGCTAAATACCAAGCTTCTTCTTCAACCATAACTGAGTTAACAAGGCTTTCATTTGTACTACACGACATAGGAGTTTCGTTGTGCAGCCTTCTGTTATTTTTTATGACAATTTAAGCATAATCTACATGAATCACAACTTAGTCTTTCATGGTTGNAACGCAGAGGCTAAATACCAAGCTTCTTCTTCAACCATAACTGAGTTAACAAGGCTTTCATTTGTACTACACGACATAGGAGTTTCGTTGTGTAGCCTTCTGTTATTTTTTATGACAATTTAAGCATAATCTACATGAATCACAACTTAGTCTTTCATGGTCGTAATAAACATATGGAGCTACATTTCCATCATGTCAGTGAGAAGGTTATGTCAACATCCTTAGTCGTTTAGTTTGTCCCTTTGGTTCATCAGCTAGCTACGATCTTGCTAAGGCATACCTTCCATGGGATGCCAATTTGGGATGAATGAGATCATACCCCCCCCCCCCCTTTTTTTTTCTCATTCACAAATTTTCTATATAAAATAAGTATATTTCAATGTATAGTCAACGAAAATAGAATATTAAAATATTCAATATCTAGGACAATAAAATTGAAACAATATTTTCACCAACTTCACTTAATTGGATATTTCACTGTTCAATTTGGTATTTTTTTTTTGTTCATTCTATCATTTGACATTAAAATTCGATATTTCATTGTCAATTTGGAAAGTGAGACGATATTCCATTGTTCAAATTTATATTTCTTCTCTCTCTCTCTTTCATTAATACGACATGTTTAGTTTATGTATTAAGAGATTGAATTAGATTAATTTAATTTGGTGATGCTGTAATACTAAATTTATATTGAATTATAGAAAACCCAATATTAATTTATCATTAATCCCGACCCGATTTACTATTTTCATTTAACACATAAATATTATATAATGATGAATACCATGTGGTATTATTTTTAACAAGTTAAGTATTAAAACACACAANTTCAGGTTTTTTTAGAGGCAGACAAGTTAGATACAGTGTACTTGGTTCATAAGGAGATGTCAGATTTGGGTTTTAAAATGGATGGGTATACTCTAGGTTGTTTTACACATTCTCTCTGCAAAGTGGGGCGGTGGAGGGAAGCTCTTGATTTGATTGAGATGGAAGAGTTTGTGCCCAATACGGTAATTTAAACAAAAATGATATCCGGATTATGTGAAGCTTCGCTTTTTGAAGAAGCTATGGATTTCTTGAACAGAATGCATTCTGTTTCTTGCATTCCTAATGTTGTAACATATAGGATTTTGTTTTGTGGGTGTTTGAATAAAAGAAAGCTGGGTAGGTGTAAACGAATTCTTAGTATGATGATCACAAAAGGTTGTTATCCTAGTCCTAATGTATTTAATTCTCTTGTTCATGCTTATTGCAGATCAGGAGACTACACTTACGCTTATAACTTGCTAAAGAAAATGGTAGATTGTGGATGTCGGCCTGGATATGTGGTTTATAACATATTAATTGGTGGTATTTGTGGAAATGAGGAGTTACCGAGTCTGGATGTGTTGGAATTGGTTGAAAAGGCTTACAGTGAAATGCTTGAAGCTGGGGTTGTATTGAACAAAATCAATGTCAGCAATTTTGCACGGTGCCTTTGTGGGGCTGGAAGATTTGAGAAAGCCTATAATGTTATTCGTGAGATGATGAGCAAGGGATTTTTACCAGATATTAGTACATACACCAAAGTAATTGGTTTTTTGTGTAATGCCTCCAAAGTAGACAAAGCTTTCTTATTGTTTCAAGAAATGAAAAGGAATGGTATTATTCCAGATGTTTATACATACACAATTCTAATTGATACATTTTGTAAAGCTGGCCTTATTCAACAAGCTCGCAGCTGGTTTGATGAAATGGCAAGGGATGGTTGTGCCCCTAATGTAGTGACTTATACCTGTCTCATTCACACTTACCTTAAAGCTAGGAAGGTCTCCAATGCAAATGAACTCTTTGAGAGTATGCTATCGAAAGGTTGCATTCCAAATGTTGTCACATTTACTGCTTTGATTGATGGTCACTGTAAAGCAGGAGAGCTTGAAAAAGCTTGCCAAATTTATGCTAGAATGAGGGGCAATGAGAAAGTCCCTGATGTAGATTTGTACTTTAGGGTTAGTAGCAGCTATATCATAGAGCCAAATGTTGTTACATATGGGGCTCTGGTGGATGGTTTCTGCAAAGCGCATAAGGTGGAAAAGGCCCGCAACCTATTGGNTAGTAGCAGCAATATCAAAGAGCCAAATGTGGTTACATATGGGGCTCTGGTGGATGGTTTTTGCAAAGCGCACAGGGTGGAAGAGGCCCGCAACCTATTGGATGCAATGTCGACTGAAGGTTGTGAGCCAAATCATATTGTATATGACGCTCTCATTGATGGATTTTGCAAGGTTGGGAAGCTTGATGAAGCACAAGAGGTATATGCTAAGATGTCTGAATGTGGACACAGTCCAAATATATACACTTATGGCTCTTTGATTGACAAGTTGTTAAAGGATAAACGGCTGGATCTTGCTCTGAAGGTCTTGTCTAAAATGCTAGAAAATTCTTGCCCTCCTAATGTTATAATCTACACAGAGATGATTGATGGCCTTTGTAAAGTTGGGAAGACTGATGAAGCCTTCAAGCTTATGCTAATGATGGAAGAGAAGGGTTGTCATCCAAATGTTGTGACTTACACTGCCATGATAGATGGCTTTGGGAAAGCGGGCAAATTGGACAAATGCCTTGAACTCTTGAGACAGATGGGTGCCAAGGGTTGTGCTCCAAATTATGTGACCTATAGGGTTGTAATAAATCATTGTTGTGCTGCTGGCCTATTGGATGAGGCTCAACAACTCCTGGAGGAGATGAAACAAACATATTGGCCAAAACATATGGCAAGCTATCGTAAGGTTCTTGAAAGCTTCAACTGAGAGTTCCTTATCAATCTTGGCCTGTTAGATGCAATAGCTGAGAACGACTCTGTGCCAATTGTTCTAGTTTACAAACTTCTAATTGATAGTTTTCGCAAGGATGGGAGACTGGAAGTAGCTCTGAAGCTGTATGAAGAGATTTCATCATACTTTCTGTTTTCATCTGTTGACAAGAATATGTACTCTTCGTTGATTGAGAGCCTCTCCATTTCATGTAAGATTGATAAGGCTTTTGAGTTATATGTGGACGTGATAAGGATGGGCGGTGTTCCTGACCTGAGTGTCTTTTTAAACCTCATTAAAGGGCTTATTAAGGTGGACAAGTGGGAGGAAGCACTTGAACTTACGTATAGCCTATGTGACTTTTAACTCTTGTTTTATTTCGCTTCAAACTAAAGGGCAACTAATCTGATGCATCTGTTTATATATCTATATTACTTATAAAAGTGGCTAACCATGAAAATTTTTTAATTTTCTCTTTTACCCTCAATTAATATGATAAAGTCCATTATATCTCTCATACCCTTTTAACTTCTTAAATTAAATACATAAACCTATCATATTCCATGATCTTCTAAAATTAATTGCTTTCACAAACTTATATGTCTATACTACTTGTAACCCTAATTAATTTTTTATTGCCAATCATGTCCAATTGCATCATTTAACCTCCCTTCAATATTATATTATCTATCTATCTATCTCTATACTTGTGCAAAATTTTTGATTCACAATAATATCCTTAAAACATGCTAATAATCTATATTTATATCTATATTACTTATAAAAGTGGCTAACAATGAAAAAAAATTGATTTTCTCTTTTATCCTCAATTAATATAATAAAGTCAATTATATTCCTCATACCGTTTTAACTTCTTAAATTAAATACATAAATCTATCATATTCTATGATCTTCTAAAATTAATTACATTCACTAACATATATATTTATACTACTTATAACCCTAATTAATTTTTTATTGCCAATCATGTCATATTGCATCATTTAACCTCCCTTCAATATTTTATTATCTATCTATCTATCTCAATACTTGTGCAAAATTTTTGATTGATAATAAAATCCTTAAAACATGTTAAGAATCAAATAATATCCTTTTGTTGTGATTTTTCACTAGGCCAGAAATCTCTCTTGCAAGTTATTGTCAATTAAAGAAACATAACTCTTGTAGAACCCTTGGAGTTTCATAACTCCAAGACATGGAACAGTGAGAAGTTGATTGGCTTGCCAAACTTATAAACCAATTTTCATAAAACATACCTAGATATTATTTGTAGATTTCAATTAATGCATCACCATGTTGGAGCCCAAGCCAAAGGTTTTCCCTCTCCATTTGCAGCCACTAACCAAACCAAATATTTCTAATTCTTTTTGTTTTGTCATCTTTATCATTCTGTATTAATGCAATATGTATGTTATGACACGACCTTTATTCCAAATTATCACAAGCTTTCTCTCGGTGTCATATTAAATCTTTTAATAGGCTAACTACCATAGTTTATGTTATTCATGAGTATGAGCACTTTGTGTTTCTAGATTTCAGCTAAAAATTTGAAATCATCATTTGTATATTGTGGGTGATATTTAATTAATTGTATGTGTATGTTTGAAGGTTTTCCATGTGACATATCTCTAATCCTATCAGGTGACTAAATGAAAATACAAGTTTTACAAATCATTTGTTCTCTATGGTATTGCAAGGTAATTCTCAGATGTATTTAAATGCTTGAAATAGTTATGTTAAACAAAAAAAAAAGCAAAAGCAAAGAAGAAACTCCTAGCGATATATTTTCATGGACGGAACTAAAATACTGTTGACATGTTGTAAGTTGAGTAGTTCTCTTTATTTAATTTTGTACAATTGACCAAATTAGGATTGACATGTGAATTCAGAATTAAAAATTATTACTGTTCTTATGAAATTTTTCAACATATATCTTAGGAATCACTCAATTTGAAAGAGCAGCATGTTATCTTAAGCACCATTGAGTTTGACTTTGTGTATTTTTCCTTGTTTGGGCTTTGTGTATTTAGATCTATTTATTAGAAGATTGTTTTTTTGCAATTTATATAAGAAAAATCAGTGGACATAATTTTTGACAAATTTGCGATGAGCGGGGTAGGACTTTAATGACTGATTTCATTGGTGATCATATAGTTTGATTTGGAGAAAACTAAAAACTAAAATTATAACCTAAAATTATCAACGTATGCACACGTGCATCAACTAGTTATTAGAAAATTACTGCACATTTTCATTAAAGTTACACTTTCGTAAGTTGATCGTATCTTCTTTTCTGCCACAAGCCTGAGCTTTGACTCCGCTGTTTGTGCAGTCAGAGTGCAGTGAAATGCATTGGAATTTACCACGTCTGGTTACAGACTTTAGATGAAGGAATTGCATAAGTAAATTTCCATTGTTCTGTATAAAGAGGGGAGGAAGTAGGAGTTGCAAAGGAAGAGAGTTGTGCAATTTGCCTATGGAACCTTGAAATGCTATGATAACATTTACAATACAAAACTATCTTAAACAAAATCTAGGACACTTCTGTGCAGTACTCTAATTGAGTTTGATAATTCCACCAACTTTGAGGATTTCTACATGACTCTATGCTATGACAATAGACCAACCAATCCATTCCAAATGTAAATCGCATAAAATGATGTGTCAAACAATAATTGCATGCAGACTTAGAAACAACCATTTCTATGCGTGCTTTTTGCTCTTTTCATTGTAAAATCTGTAATTTTGGTAATGTATCAGAAGCAATCCTTTGATAGTTGATTGTACTGAAAAAATTGTGTTGCACAACATTCTTTGTTCTGCTTGATTTACCATCTAGTGCTAGTGGCAAATGGGTGAGTTGGGAATGGTGGGAAAGGGTTTTTGCAAAATTGATACAAAACC